GGGGCCCCTTTAAAAGGAGGTTGGGTTTTTCTACTGTAGGCCCATTTTTACAGCAGGTTTTGGTCTGTGCTACTGTAGGGCCCACTTTTAAAAGCAGGTTAGGTTCTGTGCTACTTAGGGCCACTTATACAGCAGGGTTTGGTTCGTGCTACTGTAGGGCCCACTTAAACGCAGGGTTAAGTTCTGTGCTCTTAGGGGCCCCTTATACAGCAGGTTGGTTTTTGTGTACTGTAGGGTCCCACTATACGAGGTTTGGTTCGTCTACTGTAGGGGCCCACTTATACAGAGGGTTTGGGTTCTTTCTGTAGGCCCACTTATACGGAGGTTAGTTCTGTGCTACGTAGGGGCCCACTTAAAGGAGGTTAGGTCTTGCTGTAGGGCCCACTTTTACAGGAGGGTTTGGTTCTGTGCACGTAGGGCCCACTTTTCAGGGGGTTAGGTTTTTGTGCTACTGTAGGGGCCCACTAAAAAACATTAAGTTCTGTCTACTAGGGTCCCACTTTTAAAACAGGTTTGGTTTTGTGCTACTGTAGGGCCCACTTTACAGCAGGTTAGGTTCTGTGCACGTAGGGGCCCACTTTTAACACAGTTAGGTTCTGTGCTACGTAGGGGCCCACTTTTAAAAAAACAGGTTTTGGTTCTTGCACTGTAGGGTCCCCCTTTATACAGCAGTTAGGTTCTGTGCTCTGTAGGGGCCCCTTATACAGCAGTTAGGTTCTTTCTACTGAGGGCCCACTTATACAGCAGGTTTGTCGTGCACTGTAGGTCCCACTTAACAGCAGGGTTGGGTTTTGTGCTACTGTAGGGTCCCCCTTATACAGCAGGGTTTGGTTCTGGCTCTGAGGTCCCCCCTTTACAGCAGGGAGGGTTCTGTGCTACTGTAAAGGGGCCCCCTTTACAGGAGGTTAGGTTCTGTTACTGTAGGGCCCACTTATACAGCAGGTTAGGTTCTGTGCTACTGTAGGGCCCACTTATACAGGAGGTTAGGTTCTGTGCTACTGTAGGGCCCACTTATACAGCAGGTTAGGTTCTGTGCTACTGTAGGGTCCCACTTATACAGCAGGTTAGGTTCTGTGCTACTGTAGGGTCCCACTTATACAGCAGGTTAGGTTCTGTGCTACTGTAGGGTCCCACTTATACAGCAGGTTAGGTTCTGTGCTACTGTAGGGGCCCACTTATACAGCAGGTTAGGTTCTGTGCTGTAGGGCCCACTTATACAGGAGGTTAGGTTCTGTGCTACGTAGGGTCCCACTTTTTTAACAGGGGTTTGGGTTTTGTGGCTGTAGGGCCCCCCTTATACAGGGGGTTAGGGTTTTGTGCTACTGTAGGGGCCCCCTTATACAGGATTTAGGTTCTGTGCACTGTAGGGCCCCTTATACAGGGGGTTAGGGTTTTGTGCTACTGTAGGGCCCCCCTTATACAGCAGTTAAGTTCTGTCTACTGTAAAAGGGGGCCCCCTTATACAGCAGGTTAGGGTTTTGTGCTCTGTAGGGTCCCACTTTTTACAGGGTTAGGTTCGTGCACTGTAGGCCCACTTAACAGCAGGTTAGGTTCTTGCTACTGAGGGTCCCACTTATACAGCAGGGTTTGTTTCTGTGCTACGAGGGTCCCATTATCAGCAGGTTAGGGTTTTGTGGGTACGTAGGTCCCACTTATACAGCAGGTTAGGGTTTTGTGCTACTGAGGGTCCCACTTAACACAGGTTAGGTTCTGTGACTGTAGGGGCCCACTTATACGCAGGTTTGGTTCGTGCTACGTAGGGGCCCACTTATACAGCAGGTTTGGTTCGTGCTACGTAGGGTCCCCCTTATACGCAGGGTTTTTTCTGTGCTACTTAGGCCCACTTATACAGGAGGTTAGGTTCTTGCTACGTAGGGGGCCACTTTTACAGCGGTTGGTTCTGTGCTACTGTAGGGTCCCCTTATACAGCAGTTTTGGTTCTGTGCTACGAAAGGGGCCCACTTTTTAAAAGCAGTTAGGTTTTTGTGCACTGTAGGGTCCCACTTATACACAGGTTAGGTTTTGTGCTACTGTAGGGTCCACTTATTCAGCAGGTTAGGTTTTTGTTACTGAGGGTCCCACTTTTACGCAGGTTTGGGGTTTTGTGCTACTGTAGGGTCCCCCTTTAAAGCAGGGTTGGTTTTGTGCTGTCCCCAATACAGGAGGTTTGGTTCTTTCTACTTTAGGGTCCCCTTAAAGGTTAGGTTTTCTGTGCTGTAGGGGCCCCCTTTACAGGAGGGGTTTGGTTCTGGCTACTGTAGGGCCCACTTAACAGAGGGTTTGGTTCTTGCTACTTGTAGGGCCCCTTATACAGCAGTTAGGGTTTTGTGCCTGTAGGGTCCCACTTAACAGAGGTTAGGTTTTTTCACTGAGGCCCACTTTTACAGCAGGTTTTTCTGTGCTCTGTAGGGTCCCACTTAAAGCAGTAGGTTCTGTGCTACGTAGGGGGCCCACTTATACACAGGGTTTGGTTTTTTTTGCTACTGAGGTCCCACTTATACAGCATTAGGTTTTTGTGCTACGTAGGGGCCCCCCTTTTACACATTAGGTTTGTGCTCTTAGGGTCCCATTTTAAAACAGGTTAGGTCTGGCTACGTAGGGTCCCCCCTTTACAGGGGGTTTTTTCGTGCTGTAGCCCCCCTTTTAAAAGGGGGTTAGGTTTTTTTGCTACGAGGGTCCCACTTAACAGGGGGTTAGGTTTGTCTTTGGGCCCACTTATACAGGGGTTAGGTTCTGTGCTACTGAAAAGGGCCCCCTTTACAGAGGTTAGGGTTTTGGCTACTGTGGGTCCCCCTTATACGGGGTTAGGTTTTGTGCTGTAGGGCCCACTTTTTACAGGGGGTAAGGTTCTGTGCTACTGTAGGGCCCACTTTTTCAGGGGGTTAGGTTTGTCGTAGGGGCCCCCTTATACAGCAGGTTAGGTTCTTGCTACTGTAGGGCCCACTTATACAGGGGGTTAGGTTCTGGCTAATTAAAGGGGCCCCTTATACACAGGGTTTGGGTTTTTGTGCTACTGTAGGGTCCCACTTAACCGCAGGTTAGGTTCTTTGGGGACTGAGGGGCCCCCCTTTTTTAAAAGGGGTTGGTTTTTTGGGGGACGGGGTCCCCATTTCGCATTGGTTCGTGCCTTTGGTCCCACTTATCAGCAGGTTAGGGTTTTGTGCTACTGTAGGGGGCCCACTTATACGCGGTTAGGTTCTGTGCTACTGAGGGTCCCACTTTTACAGCAGGTTTTTTTTCTGTGCTACTGAGGGCCCACTTAACAGCATTTTGGTTTTTTTGCACGTAGGGGCCCACTTATACAGCAGGGTTTGGGTTCTGTGCTACTGAGGGGGCCCCCTTATACGCAGGTTAGGTTCGTCTACTTAGGGGCCCCCTTTTACAGGAGGTTTGGTTCTGTGCTACTGTAGGGCCCACTTTTACACAGGTTTTGGTTTTGTGCACTGTAGGTCCCACTTATACGCAGGTTAGGTTTTTTTTGCTACTGTAGGGTCCCCACTTATACAGAGGTTAGGGGTTCCCCGTGCTACTGTAGGGGGCCCACTTATAAAACAGGGTTTGGTTTTGGCTACTGTAGGGTCCCCTTTTAAGCAGTTAGGTTCGTGCTACTTAGGGTCCCCTTAAACAGCAGGTTAGGTTCTTGTTACTGTGGGCCCACTTTTACAGGGGTTAGGTTCTGGCTTTGGGCCCACTTATACAGGGGGTTAGGGGTTTGTGCTACTGAGGGGGCCCACTTAACAGGAGGTTAGGTCTGTGCTTAGGCCCACTTAACGGAGGTTAGGTTTCTGTGCACGTAGGGGGCCCCCTTAACAGGAGGGTTTGGTTCGTGCTACTGTAGGGCCCACTTATACAGCAGGGTTGGGTTCTGTGCTTTCTGTAGGTCCCCTATACAGCAGGTAAATTCGTCTACTGTAGGGTCCCACTTTTACAGGAGGGTTGGGTTTTGTGCTGTAGGGGCCCCCTTTTACAGGAGGTTAGGGGTTTTGTGCACTGTAGGGTCCCACTTATACAGATTTTGGGGTTTTGGCTGTAGGGCCCACTTTAACAGCAAAGGGTTTTTGTGCTACTGTAGGGCCCGCTTATACAGCATTGGTTCCCGGCACCACGTAAACAAAAAACGCCGTAAAGTGAAACACAACCTTTTTCTCCATTTTCAAATGTATATAAAAACGATAACATGTTTTCATTCACATATTAATGAGCAATAAACTTGGCCTAAAAAAAAGCCACAGTACACACAATTTCTTACCCTTAAAATATTTCGCCTTTAGCTTATTTTAGTGGTTATATTTTATTTAGGGAATCTAAAAAATTAAAATAATAAATTGAAAACAGCTGTATTACAAAAGCCGTAAAGCGAAGCGCCTAAAACGAAGCGCCCTAAAGCGAAGCGCGTAAAGCGGGCCCGAATGTACTTTGAATAATTTTTTTAGAAAAGAATAATTGATAAAAGAGACACTTGTGGGAGCATTTTTCTTTTTCTGGAAATGTTTTGCCACCAGGGCTTTTTTCTCCCCCTGGAGCAAAATTTTTCCTAAAAAAGATACCCCCCCCCTGCACAAGTTTAAACTTTTCAAAGTGGTACTTCTAAGGCCCATGGCAGGGGGAGGGCCCATGGTGGGGCAGGCCTATGACAGGGGCAGGCCTATGGCAGGGATAGTCCTATGACTGTCCAGTGGCCCTTGCCGGTGCCATGATATTATAAGATACTAGTGTACACAATTCTGTAAAAGGTGGGCGAAGAATAGTCTTGGGGGCAGAGATAGTCTTGGGGGCAGAGAGAGAGAGATTTTTTCCTAGCTTAAACTACGATTCATTTTTTCGCATTAGCCTAGTTAAAAATAGTCTTATTTTTCCTAGTTAAAATTGTGATTTTTTTGTGTGTGTGTATTTTCCGTATCTAGAAGTGTAACTGTTTTCACCTCTCCGTAGCTAGAATTGTGTTTTTATAAATTCTAGCTAAGATTGTAACTTTCTATCGCACTTGCCACTGTTGACAGAAGGTTTCGCACCCTCGGAGATGTTCCGCGAGGAGTTCATCCTGTGGCGAGACGACCTGACGGTGCGGCCACAGACACTGCTAGGACACGGCTACTTCGGCAAGGTCCTAGCTGGGGAGCTGAGGACCGCTGGGACAGTGGCTAGGAGCGTGGCAGTGAAGACCCACAGTGATGCAGCCTCCACTGAGGAGGTGGTGCAGTTCCTCAGGGAAGCGGCAGTGATGCAGTGAGTGCTAAACTTAAGTGCTAAACCCACAAGGGTGGTACAGCTGCAGTGATAGATCAAGTAACGGGTCGAGGTTCGAACCCACGTCAGACGAGCCCTATTACTCACAGGATAGTGCGCTAACCGCTCGGCCAGCTGGCTCTAAGATTAATCCAACTAGGGTGGTTAGCATGGGCCCCTCACTGTGACCACTAATCCGTTCCATGGTTCGTTTACAGAAGTGTTATTACGATTTCGTAAGTACTGATAGACTATTGTTTATACAGCCATATGCTACTGGTCTAGTCCGCTCCACTACATAATATATAACATAGGTTGGTTAGTGGGGTTTAAAGCCTGTCGACTACACGAGGGTCAAGGATGCATGTAACCTGTACACTACCAGTCAAGAATACTTTAATCAATAAAATTGAAATAAAGTAATCTCAGTGTATATACACTGAGATACACTCACCTCTCAGTGTATATACACTGAGATACACTCACCTCTCAGTGTATATACACTGAGATACACTCACCTCTCAGTGTATATACACTGAGATACACTCACCTCTCAGTGCATATACACTGAGATACACTCACCTCTCAGTGTATATACACTGAGATACACTCACCTCTGTGTATATACACTGAGATACACTCACATGTCAATGTATATACACTGAGATACACTCACCTCTCAGTGTATATACACTGAGATACACTCGCATGTCAGTGTATATACACTGAGATACACTCACCTCTCAGTGTATATACACTGAGATACACTCACCTCTCAGTGTATATACAATGAGATACACTCACATGTCAGTGTATATACACTGAGATACACTCACATGTCAGTGTATATACACTGAGATACACTCACCTCTCAGTGTATATACACTGAGATCCACTCACCTCTCAGTGTATATACACTGAGATACACTCACCTCTCAGTGTATATACACTGAGATACACTCACATCTCAGTGAATATACACTGAGATACACATACCTCTCACTGTATACACACTAAGATACACTCGCCTCTCAGTGTATATACACTGAGATACATTCACCTGTCAGTGTATATACACTGAGATACTCACCTCTCAGTGTATATACACTGAGATACACTCACCTCTCAGTGTATATACACTGAGATACACTCACATCTCAGTGAATATACACTGAGATACACATACCTCTCACTGTATACACACTAAGATACACTCGCCTCTCAGTGTATATACACTGAGATACACTCACCTCTCAGTGTATATACACTGAGATACACTCACCTCTCAGTGTATATACACTGAGATACACTCACATGTCAGTGTATATACACTGAGATACACTCACCTCTCAGTGTATATACACTGAGATACACACACCTCTCAGTGTACATACACTGAGATACACACACCTCTCAGTGTATACACACTGAGATACACTCACCTCTCAGTGTATATACACTGAGATATACTCACCTCTCAGTGTATATACACTGAGATACACTCACTTCTCAGTGTATACACAGAGATACACTCACCCGTTAGTATATATAAACTGATACACTCACCCCTTAGTATATATAAACTGATACACTCACCTCTCAGTGTATATACACTGAGATGTACTCACCTCTCAGTGTATATACACTAAGATACACTTCACCTCTCAGTGTATATACACCAAGATATACTCACCTCTCAGTGTATATACACCAAGATATACTCACCTCTCAGTGTATATACAATGAGACACACTTACCTCTCAGTGTATATACACTGAGACACACTTACCTCTCAGTGTATATACACTGAGATACGCTTACCTCTCAGTGTATATACACTGACAGATTTGTAGATGAATGGTTCAGAGAACCGACATGTTGATAAATTAGACACATGTGCAACTCTTGGGTATCTTTATTGAGGAAACGTTTCGCCACACAGTGGCTTCATCAGTCCATACAAAGGAGAATCTTGAAGAACAGGAGGAGAATGAGGTAATCAGTCCCTCAACCTTGAGTCGATGTGGTCAGTCCATCAATCTTGAATAGAATACGGCATACGTGCGGAGGAGCTTATAAACCGTTGGCAGGAGAGGTGCAGCAGTCATAGGTGGTGTCACATTTGTTCAATGTGGAAGTAGGTCGTGCCCAAGAATTAGGCAAGCGAAGAATTCCCTTGCCTAATGTGACACCACCTATGACTGCTGCACCTCTCTTACCAACGGTTTATAAGCTCCTCCGAACGTATGCCGTATTCTATTCAAGATTGATGGACTGACCACATCGACTCAAGGTTGAGGGACTGATTACCTCATTCTCCTCCTGTTCTTCAAGATTCTCCTTTGTATGGACTGATGAAGCCACTGTGTGGCGAAACGTTTCCTCAATAAAGATACCCAAGAGTTGCACATGTGTCTAATTTATCATACACTTAGATACACTCACCTCTCAGTGTATATACACTGAGATACACTCACCTCTCAGTGTATATACACTGAGATACACTCACCTCTCAGTGTATATACACTGAGATACACTCACCTCTCAGTGTATATACACTGAGATACACTCACCTCTCAGTGTACATACACTGAGATACACTCACCTCTCAGTGTATATACACTGAGATACACTCACCTCTCAGTGTATATACACTGAGATACACTCACCTCTCAGTGTATATTACACTGAGATACACTCACCTCTCAGTGTATATACACTGAGATACACTCACCTCTCAGTGTATATACACTGAGATACACTCACCTCTCAGTGTATATACACTGAGATACACTTACCTCTCAGTGTATATACACTAAGATACTCACCTCTCAGTGTATATACACTGAGATACACTTACCTCTCAGTGTATATACACTAAGATACTCACCTCTCAGTGTATATACACTGAGATACACTTACCTCTCAGTGTATATACACTAAGATACTCACCTCTCAGTGTATATACACTGATAAACAACACACTAAAACTATCAAAATTTGCTAAACTTTACCACAGATATATCAGTCAAAAATATTCACACCATCGCCGGATTTCCATCAGTTACTCTGCGTTTTTACGCTTTTTTTGCGTAATCAACAGTTATTAGTATGCTGCTGTTGTAATTGTAAACATCTGACCTCTGGCGTACGTACGTAAATCATTACCATTGTTTAATCTTACAACGAAGAGTTGGTGTAATTTTATGGTTACAATATAGTCTTTCGTTATACAGATGATTACGTTCCTAGAAAGCGTTAAATTCGCAAGGGTCATGCAGTTCCGTGGAGGCGGGCAGGGTAATGATGAGAGGTGTTGAGGGTAGGTCAGTGGCTGCAAGTCTGCTGTTACACTTGTATATACACTTGGTATATCTACGAAAGCACGCTAAACTCTTATGGGTGTATATTCCAGGTATTTCCCCACTTGAATATTGTTATATATTCACTGCCATTTTTTCTCTTATCTGTATAATGTTCAGGTGACGAGATTGTCTATATCTGTCACTCTGTTTACCACTGATCTGTGTATGTGTGTGTGTGATTGTGTGTGTGTGTGTGTTGTGTGTGTGTGCTGGTGTGTGTGTGTATGCTGGTGTGTGTGTGTGTGTGTGTGTGTGTGTGTGTGTGTGTGTGTGTGTGTGTCAGAGAGAGAAAGAGAGTGTCTCTCATACTGTCAATGTCTTGACAGGAACATTCTCTGTCTTGACAGGAACCATCTTTCTCATCCTTGACAGGAACAATCTTTCTTATCCTTGACAGGAACCATCTTTCTCATCCTTGACAGGAACAATCTTTCTTATCCTTGACAGGAACAATCTTTCTTATCCTTGACAGGAACCATCTTTCTCATCCTTCACAATAACCATCTTTCTCATCCTTGACAGGGATATAGAGTGCCATCACGTGGTTCGCCTGCTAGGTGTAGTAGGGGACTACGCCCCCGTCTACGTGGTTATGGAACTAATGGAGCAAGGTGACCTCAGAACCTACCTCAAGAACCACAGAGGTGACCTCTCAAACCAGGTGAGGTTAGGTGACTTACTAGGTGCTGATGACCCCAGCAGGTGAGGTTAGGTGACGTACTAGGTGCTGATGGTTACAGCAGGTGAGGTTAGGTGACGTACTAAGTACTGATGATCCCAGCAGGTGAGGTTAGGTGACATACAAGGTGTTGACGGTCCCAGCAGATGAGGGTAGGTGACGCACTAGGTACTCCAAATGGCCCAATCGGGCCACTTGGAGCACGTAGTAGCGGAGGCTCGATCCTCTGTCTAGTAACTGCGAGACATGTCATGTATCAGTTGCAAGACGTGCTTAAACTGCATACTGGAAGGTGAGGCCCACTAGACGATAGCATAGTGGTACTGGACGATGGTAAAGGTGTTAGTGAAGCAATGGTGGTGTTGCAATCAGAGTTTTGGGAAGATAGTGACTGTAATAGGTGGTTGTGGTGCACAAGATAACATGGTGGTGGTGTTATAGGTGGTGGTGGTGCACAAGATAACATGGTGGTGGTGTTATAGGTGGTGGTGGTGCACAAGATAACATGGTGGTGGTGTTATAGGTGGTGGTGGTGCACAAGATAACATGGTGGTGGTGTTATAGGTGGTGGTGGTGCACAAGATAACATGGTGGTGGTGTTATAGGTGGTGGTGGTGCACAAGATAAAATGGTGGTGTTACAGGCGTTGGTGGTGCTACAGGTGATAGTGGCGAACAAGATAACACGGTGGTATTACAGGTGGTGATAACATCATGTTATTAGCATCACTCTTGGTGATAACAGGATTTGATCGGTACTACAAGGGAGAGAGATAAGACATGACAGCAGACGTTGCACATGTACTTGTAGAAATAAAGATTATTATTATTATTATTATTATTATTATTATACATAAGTGGGACTTACACATGAGCCGTATTATCAAAGCTTATTCATAGGAGTCATTGAAAATGGATTGGTCAAATATTTTTGCTAGAAGGTTTAGGCTTGAGAATGGCCTGCCAAGTATGAGACAGTAGGCCTGCTGCAGTGTTCCTCCTTTCTTACGTTCTTACAACCTTGGCGTTACAGAAAGTGTTGGAGATGGCAGCAGAGGCAGCAGACGGGATGACGTACCTGGCCTGGAAGAGGCTGGTTCACAGGGACCTGGCAGCCAGGAACTGCATGCTAGACCAGACACTCACACTCAAAATCGGGGACTTCGGCCTCTCCAGGAGCCTCCATTCTAACTACTACAGGAAGGGTGAGGCCCAGTTGCTACTTGGTAACCGCAGATTAAGAGATTAATTGGGTTTGAAACCTATCGGCTATGCGAAGGTCATCAAGGCTCCTAGCACCCATGTCTTTAATCGAGATGAATATACTTTGATCTCTTAGTGAGTAAAGTTAGCTCTAAGTGTATTTAGGCTGAGAGATATACACCTCTCGGTGTATACATGTATCCTGTATCGGTGTATACGGTGTATCCTGTCATCGTAACTATGGAGAAGTGCTAAATCCGTAACGGTCATAAGGGTTTAGCGTATGGAGAATAATCAGGTCTGAAGTAAGAGTACAAGAAGACTGAAGGCTCTTACAGGCAGTGAAGGTCTGGACGCTGTCCCAGGGCTGGACGCTGTCCCAGGGCTGGACGCTGTCCCAGGGCTGGACGCTGTCCCAGGGCTGGACGCTGTCCCAGGGCTGGACGCTGTCCCAGGGCTGGACGCTGTCCTAGGGCTGGACGCTGTCCCAGGGCTGGACGCTGTCCCAGGGCTGGACGCTGTCCCAGGGCTGGACACTGTCCCAGGGCTGGACGCTGTCCCAGGGCTGGACGCTGTCCCAGGGCTGGACGCTGTCCCAGGGCTGGACGCTGTCCCAGGGCTGGACACTGCCCCTGGAATGGACGCTGCCCCAACATTCCTATTCCTCCTACTCTCCACTGTCTATTTTATCTCTTCCTATTATACCTAATATACAGTGCTAAACCCTCCTGGCTCATTCAGCCCATAGGAATGAAAGCTTGATCCTCCGTTCACCCAGTTTGTGACTTCTGTTTGTAACACAAATTTTCAACCATCTATGGACAGAGGGCCGCGCCATGATGCCAGTTCGATGGATGGCGCCAGAAAGTCTCCAGTTCAGTGTATACAACAGCCAGAGTGACGTCTGGAGCTACGGTGTCCTCTTGTGGGAGATGACCACCAGGGGCGTCAGACCTTACAAGGTAGGTCACCATACCCTGTGGGGGGTCCTCATACCCTGTGAGGGCTCACCTTACCCCGTGGGTCGCCTTACCAAGATACCTTTCTAAACAGAACCCTTGTAATGAATCCTTATTCAATTATTATTGCTTCCATGAGGTATCTTAATTTAAAAACGTTTCGCGCACCAGTGTCTCTATCAAAGAGGTGACTAAACATCGAGACAGCAGAGTCAGCGGACAGTACAGATTATTATTATAATCAAGGGAGAAGCGCTAAACCCGGAGGATTATACAGCGCCTGGGGGGGGGGTATGTGGAAGGCATTCAGGCTTAATTCGGGGAACTGGAGCACAGATCCAATTCCCTAAATCAAGAGCCCCTCACCAACATCAAGGAACCTTCCTTGAGGGGGGACAGTACAGAACTTTGGGTGGGAGGAGGATAGAAGGCACTTACGTTCTATCCAGGAAATGGGAGGATAGATCCAGTTCGTTGGATGAAAATAGATTCATAGGTAGGAAAAGGTGTGCCTACCTATCCATCGGTTGGTAGCGCACTCAGTTCACACACTAAGTGTCCGTGTTCGATCCCCGGTACGGGTGGAAACAGGACGTGTTTCCTCAGGACTCCTGCTGTCTATGTTCACCTAGCAGTAAGTAGGTACCTGTGTGTTAGTCGACTAACACTCAGGTACCTACCGAGCTTGTGTCCTTGTACCGAGTTTGTGTCCTTGTAAATGTACCGAGTCTGTGTCCTTGTAAATGTACCGAGTCTGTGTCCTTGTACATGTACCGAGTCTGTGTCCTTGTACATGTACCGAGTCTGTGTCCTTGTACATGTACCGAGTCTGTGTCCTTGTACATGTACCGAGTCTGTGTCCTTGTACATGTACCGAGTCTGTGTCCTTGTACATGTACCGAGTCTTTGTCCTTGTACATGTACCGAGTGTGTGTCCTTGTACATGTACCGAGTCTGTGTCCTTGTACATGTACCGAGTCTGTGTCCTTGTACATGTACCGAGTCTGTGTCCTTGTACATGTACCGAGTGTGTGTCCTTGTACATGTACCGAGTCTGTGTCCTTGTACATGTACCGAGTCTGTGTCCTTGTACATGTACCGAGTCTGTGTCCTTGTACATGTACCGAGTGTGTGTCCTTGTACATGTACCGAGTCTGTGTCCTTGTACATGTACCGAGTCTGTGTCCTTGTACATGTACCGAGTCTGTGTCCTTGTACATGTACCGAGTGTGTGTCCTTGTACATGTACCGAGTCTGTGTCCTTGTACATGTACCGAGTCTGTGTCCTTGTACATGTACCGAGTCTGTGTCCTCCAGAACAACACCAACGACGAGGTAGTACGCCTGGTGGTAGAGCAGCGACTGACACTGCCTCACCCCCTGGACTGTCCTCCAGCACTGCTCAGTATAATGCAACGCTGTTGGAATTACGACCCCGCCAGCAGACCTTCCTTCAGCGTCATCACTGCCTTCCTTCTCAAGGTGAGGTCACTCACAATTCTCCCTCGCAAGCGTGTATTTCCATTACTACCATTTACCTTTACTAATCATTATTAAAATCATAATCAGACAAACGGGAAAACATTGTTTCTTCCTGTAGTCTACAAACTGCAGTTGACATTAATGAACTATTGTTAATCCACAATAGAAAGGCACTATCATGCGTGTACGTTTCGGGCAGACTAATCCTAGTACTCACAGACTACTTAAGCCTAGACAAAAGTTATTAAGTGGTAACTTATAAGTATGAAACGCTAAACCCACTAGGGTCTTAACTTTATTGAGTTATCCTGTTAGAATCAATAATATCAGCATCAAAGCAATAAGGAATTACCTGAAAGATTTGACAAATAACGTCTCGATCTCACCACCTCTGACAGAAGATGGAAATAAATGGTAGAAAATACTGTCACGACAGAAAGAAATAGATACAACTGCAGTACAATGCGATTCTTTATTGACAACGTTTCGCCCACACAGTGAGCTTTATCAAGTCACAAATAGATCTACCAGGGTGAAGATTACATGAGTATATATAGTGTGGAGAGTCAGGTGGAGAACGCTGGGTAGATTGTTTCTGAAAATCAGATTATTATTATTATAATCAAGGGGGAAGCGCTAAACCCGGAGGATTATACAGCGCCTGGGGGGGGGATGTGGAGGGCATTCAGGCTTAATTCGGGGAACTGGAGCACAGATCCAATTCCCTAAATCAAGAGCCCCTCACCAACATCAAGGAACCTTCCTTGAGGGGCCTCTGAAAATCAGAAACAGAAGGGATTCACAGGTAAGGACCCACTAGGGGCGAGGGGGAAGTGGGGGATAGTTGAAGAATATGTGGGAGAGAGGAAAAGAATAAAGAAAAAGGAAAAGAGTAGAGGCTAAACCCAACCGCAGGGCATTGTAAAACTTTAATAGGGCATTGTAATGGTCATGTGACACTGCATGTGCTGCTACTTTCTGTCTCCCGCCCAAACGACACTTGGCAAGCCGCTCCACTCAACTGCACAGAGAACGATCCTCCACGACAATGGCAGTTTAAGGAGAGTTGGAGAGATAAAGGATAGATAAAGCAAAGATGGTAATTGCTTTAGGATATTATAGCGTGAAAAGTGCAAGAAAAGGAGCAGGAAGAGTGCAAGAGAAGAGCAAGATTGCTGGAAAAAATTAAGCGTATCGAGGAGGAGAAACAGAGTCGTAAAGAGCTCTGAAGAGACTGACAAGATTGTAAGGTCGTCTGAAAGAGTGATCAAGGTAAGAAGTCCAGTAGTCGTGGTGTGTCTCAAGTCTGTCAAGTTGTCTGTCGCAGAGTGTTTTCCAGAACACATTCAAAGCTGGTATGCCAGTCCTGAGGTGGAGTGACTCGTTTGTGGCATAGTCATGCCACCTCACTCTCAGCACCCAGCGCAATGCCAGGTTCTGGGTACGTTGTAGCTTCCGTGCATTAGTTTTAGCTGCCAGTGTTAAGGCAAGGGTAGTGTAAGTGATGAGAGGCCTGATGATTGCTGTGTATAAGTGAAGCTTGGTGGCAGGACGTGCACCTCTCAGTTTACAGAGCTGTGAGAGTGCAATCCAAGCAACAGCTGTTTTGGAAGTGATGTGTTGTGTCATACATAACCTGGAGTCAAGGGTAACTCCTGGAACTACTGCAGAAAAAGTTCATGATATGGGTGTTCGTGAAGTACTGGTTTTGAATTCAACAGTGAGTAGGGATGCCACATTTTTTATCGAAAAACGTATCTGAGACGGAGCTGCACGACACTTACGTCTATTCATGAGTGTAACAGTGTAACAGTGTAACAGTGTAACAGCTTAACAGTGTAACAGTGTAACAGTATAACAGTGTAACCACCTCATAATTTATTATTCCTCAAATATTAAAGTTTCACACTAATTACTAAAAGTATTGATTTTTTTCTAAAAGTTGGCCAGTCCATAAGTCACAAGTGTTGGTAATTTCTGTCAGCATGTGAGTGTGGAGTATGGAGAGAGATTCCAGCAAGTGTCAGCCTTCCACAGCCTCGCCTCTCAAACCACCAGGTCAGCAGTGTTCCTCTCTATTATACTGTAATATTTGCTCTGAAGTGCCAATCCTGTAAGGGTTATGCAGCACCTTGGATCAAGATGTCTTCGTAGCTTACAGACAGCTTCAAGGCAGTAGCAATTTACAAAAAAATAATCATTTAAAAGTATATGGGTTTAAAATATAGTTTAAGATTGTTTTTCGTGCCATTAACTGCTGACCCATTACATCCATTTGTATGTTATTATTTTAACTACGTAAGAAGAAATGCATAACTTGTTTGTTGGGAAATTTGGGAATGTGTTTCTTGGTCTAGATCAGCTCTGGAGGTCCGGCCAGTGGAGCTTCTGGTCATCTGACCGACACCTTCACCTGGCTTACCAATACAACCAGTGAATAAAACAATGAAATTCGTAAACGCGTGAAATTAACAGTGTCACTGTTGACATTTATAAAGACGTGGAACTAAGAGTGTCATTGTGATCCCTCCAGCAGGGAGAGTGTAAGAGGAGGCTCCGTCAGTAGCCAGTGTCTGCACACTGCCAGTGACGATGATCTTCACAACGTGGATCCTCTCACCATTACTTCAGACCTCAGCCACGACAGTAAGCTCACATGTGCAATGTCAATGTTTAAATTATCATGCAATGTAGTGATGAAGGAAGATGGTGTCATGGTATATATAGTGTTGGAAGATGTGATTCCTCACTGAGGTTATCAGGAAGTGCAGTATATTGTGTTTTACACAAAGATTTCGGCCAAATTCGTAAATATGCACATTGTTTATAAAATACGAGTGTTAGATGTTACCCTCATGCTGAGTTGGTCTTCCCCAATGGAAATAAGTCACTTTTTCTGACTTTTTTTAGGGTTATCCCAGGTTCTCTACACATATGCTGCTATGTATGATAATATATGTAACTGTATATATCTGAATAAACTAACTTAACCCTTTAAGGCTTTCAACGCTGCGTTCTTCTCAGCGCAGCTGATGACAATGGCCGACTATAAGCCATGTTACTACCCTGCCCCGGGCACACCACTCAGCCTCTGACATGGTTTCCACCTATTTCTCCTGTATGTTTTGACCTCAAAGAATATTTTTTGACTAAACCTGACTTAGAAACCTCACCTAACCTGATTTTTTAGCCATATCCTGCTAAATGAGTCACTAATATGTTTAAATTTAAAGAGTTCTGAAGATGGCTGCTATTTTTTCCTGCAGGTAGGCTGAGGCGTCTATGTCGAGGAGTCTTCCTCTAGCAACTCAGTTTTGATTTCCGTCTAAACTGTGGTAAACACTGTGGGCAGTAAATTAATAGTTTCAAGTTCTGAAGGAAGAACTCGTTGAGAAAACCACCCAGGATTTTGTGACTGTATTAGTGTTTGAAGTACAGCATCTGCACACGTCTGGCAACACAGCGATGGAGTGAACGATGCCACTTCGGTGGCAAAATTTAATCAGCACTTAGTATTTAAGGGTCTTTCCTGTTTTATTAATTTAACAAAAATGTATTGAGTTATCGTTCTATTTTCAGTGTGAATCTGAAGGACTCAACAGTGTTAATATAGGCTCAGATATGTTGAATGTTGAGGCGGGTGTTTACATGACTTTTCTCGTCACACCAAGACGTTTTAACATTCAACATTTTATCTAACATTTGAACACCATCTAGCCCTCCATGAACACCATCTAGCCCTCCATGAACACCATCTAGCCCTCCATGAACACCATCTAACCCTCCATGAACACCATCTAGCCCTCCATGAACACCATCTAGCCCTCCATGAACACCATCTAGCCTCATGAACACCATCTAGCCCTCCATGAACACCATCTAGCCCTCCATGAACACCATCTAGCCCTCCATGAACACCATCTAGCCTCCATGAAAAAACCATCTAGCCCTCCATGGAACACCATCTAGCCCTCCATGAACACCATCTAGCCCTCCATGAACACCATCTAGCCCTCCATGAACACCATCTAACCCTCCATGAACACCATCTAGCCCTCCATGAACACCATCTAGCCCTCCATGAACACCATCTAGCCCTCCATGAACACCATCTAGCCCTCCATGAACACCATCTAGCCCTCCATGAACACCATCTAGCCCTCCATGAACACCATCTAACCCTCCATGAACACCATTTAACCCTCCATGAACACCATCTAGCCCTCCATGAACACCATCTAACCCTCCATGAACACCATCTAGCCCTCCATGAACACCATCTATAGCCCTCCATGAACACCATCTAGCCCTCATGAACACCATGTAACCCTCCATGAACACCATCTAGCCCTCCATGGGAAAACCATCTAGCCCTCCATGAACACCATCTAGCCCTCCATGAACACCATCTAGCCCTCCATGAACACCATCTAGCCCTCCATGAACACCATCTAGCCCTCCATGAACACCATCTAACCCTCCATGAACCCATCTAGCCTCCATGATACACCATCTAGCCCTCCATGAACACATCTAGCCCTCCATGAACACCATCTAGCCCTCCATGAACACCATCTAGCCCTCCATGAACACCATCTAGCCCTCCATGAACACCATCTAGCCCTCCCTGAACACCATCTAGCCCTCCATGAACACCATCTAGCCCTCCATGAACACCATCTAGCCCTCCATGAACACCATCTAGCCTCCATGAACACCATCTAGCCCTCATGAACACCATCTAGCCTCCATGAACACCATCTAGCCCTCCATGAACACCATCTAGCCCTCCATGAACACCATCTAGCCCTCCATGAACACCATCTAGCCCTTCATGAACACCATCTAGCCCTCCTATGAACACCATCTAGCCCTCCATGAACACCATCTAGCCCTCCATGAACACCATCTAGCCCTCCATGAACACCATCTAGCCCTCCATGAACACCATTTAACCCTCCATGAACACCATTTAACCCTCCATGAACACCATTTAACCCTCCATGAACACCATTTAACCCTCCATGAACACCATTTAACCCTCCATGAACACCATTTAACCCTCCATGAACACCATCTAACCCTCCATGAACACCAGCTAGCCCTCCATGAACACCATCTAGCCCTCCATGAACACCATCTAGCCTCCATGACACCATTTTACCTCCATGAACACCATTTTTAACCCTCCATGAACACCATTTAACCCTCCATGAACACATTTAACCCTCCATGAACACACATTTAACCCTCCATGAACACCATTAACCCTCCATGAACACCATTTACCTCCATGAACACCATTTAACCCTCCATGAACACCATCTAACCCTCCATGAACACCATTTAACCCTCCATGAACACCATTTAACCCTCCATGAACACCATTTAACCCTCCATGAACACCATTTAACCCTCCATGAACACCATCTAACCCTCCATGAACACACCATTTAACCCTCCATGAAACACCATTTAACCCTCCAATGAACACCATTTAACCCTCCATGAACACCATTTAAACCTCCATGAACACCATTTTAAACCTCCATGAACACATTTAAACCCTCCATGAACACCATCTAACCCTCCATGAACACCATCTAACCCTCCATGAACACCATTTAACCCTCCATGAACACCATCTAACCCTCCATGACTTTATAGTTACCACTTACTGTTAGTCAAATACTGTTTTGTCTTGCAGGCGCACCGGAGGGAGAGGAGAGTGAGTGGCGGGAGGTACCTCTAAAAGGTCAGTCCCCATGTCACTCTCACCTCTCACCACTACAACTACCAGCAGTCAGTGCCAAGCAACATGCTCCATCATACCACACTAACACCGAGAGGGAGGTAGAGTGTGTGTTTCCCAAACGCCCTACGTGCAAGTGGCCCCTCCAGGGGCACAACACCACCAACCATGTATACACCAACTGCACCTCTGTCGACTTCCTACCTCAGGCAGCACCTTTCTTCACCTCTCAGTCAGTTTTTGATGATGCTATATTTCAGCGTCCCGGACTTCTGGCTAAAAGAGACACGACCACATTCCTCACCACTCTAGGTTGTACTAAGCAACCATACACTACCTCTGATGAAGCTCAGTCTCGTTCAGCTTCAGTCTTCGATATCCTTAGTGACCCGCCTACCCTCAACTGTGCCCCTTCGTCTATTTCTTGTATGAACTCTTCAACGCCATTTCCAGGAGCAACCGTCTCTTTTGAGGGATTTTCTCTTGCCTTGCAGGAGTGTGGCACACAGACCTCAGTCGTGCAGCCATACCAGGCCTCAGCAAACCTCCCAGACACTGCCGTCCATTATACGTCAAGCTCCTCCTCCCCAGAGCCACATTCCTACTCATCAGAGTCTGCTCTCTCTCTCCGAGGATTCCATGACGATCAGTTTCCAATTTGCGAATCCCAGAGTTGCCCAGATACCAGAGTGCTCGAGCAGACAGAACTATTATGTTTGGGTCCAAGTGTACCGCTGCTTTCCTACACCTCCCTCCCATAGCTGCCTTTCCTCCTTGTCCGTCTCGGACAGGACTGCCTTTCTTGACGCATTCCTATACCTCTCTGCCAGAGCTGCCTGCCCCTACACTCCCTACTACTCATGATTACTTCTACAGCCTTCATGGGTACTGTCACCAATCAGTGTACTCCTGCACCTACCTCCAGCAGCGCAGCAGCTTCACCACCCGCACCATAACTGCCCTCTTTATTTTCTCCATCGAAGATGTATATTGTATATCTTCCGTGCTACAAGTGACCTTGCCTCTACCCGACGGCAGCAGCAGCAGTCGTCTCTGTTACGGGACGACAGACGGCGTCGTTGCCTTCACGTCGACCCATGGCGTCGTCTCTCCCTCCCAGGATGCAGAGCACCACAGTTTTTCTTGTTGTTGTAATGTTGTAATAACATTAGTCACATTGATATTCTTCATGAATAACTGAAGCGTATAAAAGTGAGAATAAACCAGAAGCATGTGTGAATACATGTGATAATACTGTTGTATTTAGGGGAAAGCGCTAAACCCACAGGAGGCTCACACAGCGCCTGTGAATGGGAGGTAATCAGATCCAAGGAAGGAAATGTTAGGTCCACTTACTGGCATTAGAGACCAATCATGCCAGCATCAAGGGCATTCCCTTGATGCTGCAAAGCTCTTAAATCAAGGAATTTTAGCTCCCTAAATCAAAATAGATCACCATGTGTTCTCCAGGCATTGTATAACTTCCCACCGACCACTATAATAAATTAAGGCGAGTCTCTGTGTTAACTGTACTGAAGGGACGGTCACGTGAAGGACGGTCACGTGAAGGGACGGTCACGTGAAGGAAGGGACGGTCACGTGAAGGGACGGTCACGTGAAGGAAGGGACGGTCACGTGAAGGGACGGTCACGTGAAGGGACGGTCACGTGAAGAAAGGGACGGTCACGTGAAGGGACGGTCACGTGAAGGGACGGTCACGTGAAGGGACGGTCACGTGAAGGGACGGTCACGTGAAGGGACGGTCACGTGAAGGGACGGTCACGTGAAGGGACGGTCACGTGAAGGAAGGGACGGTCACGTGAAGGGACGGTCACGTGAAGGGACGGTCACGTGAAGGGACGGTCACGTGAAGGAAGGGACGGTCACGTGAAGGGACGGTCATGTGAAGGGACGGTCACGTGAAGGAAGGGACGGTCACGTGAAGGGACGGTCACGTGAAGGGACGGTCACGTGAAGGGACGGTCACGTAAAGGGACGGTCACGTGAAGGGACGGTCACGTGAAGGGACGGTCACGTGAAGGGACGGTCACGTGAAGGGACGGTCACGTAAAGGGACGGTCACGTGAAGGGACGGTCACGTGAAGGGACGGTCACGTAAAGGGACGGTCACGTGAAGGGACGGTCACGTGAAGGGACGGTCACGTGAAGGGACGGTCACGTGAAGGGACGGTCACGTGAAGGGACGGTCACGTGAAGGGACGGTCACGTGAAGGGGACGGTCACGTGAAGGGACGGTCACGTAAAGGGACGGTCACGTGAAGGGACGGTCACGTAAAGGGACGGTCACGTGAAGGGACGGTCACGTAAAGGGACGGTCACGTAAAGGGACGGTCACGTAAAGGGACGGTCACGTAAAGGGACGGTCACGTAAAGGGACGGTCACGTGAAGGGACGGTCACGTGAAGGAAGAACCACTTGTCAGTATTTTTTAACAATGATTATGTTATATTTAGAGAAATTGCATAAAATATAATATTTAAACTTGTATACATTTTAATCATGTCAAAAAATTCTGATTCAATATTGAGCACAGTTGACCTTAATTGTTTACATATATACAATATTACATATTAATAAATAAATAAATCATAATATATATATATATATATATATATATATATATATATATATATATATATATATATATATATATATATATATATATATGTATGTAGAGAGAGAGAGAGAGAGAGAGTGGAATCTGAAGTAAGCTGGGGTTAGGTTCCTGGTAACGGTATGTTAAGTGAACTGAAGAATATAGAAAAAAAAATTAGGTTATATTCCACACACATCCAAAATAAAGGATTTTTATGTTAAATAATTTTTAAGAATACATCTGTAATTATAGTTTATTGTACTTAGGTGTACATAATTAAAATACAGTACCTGTGGCTAAATAAGGTTAAATAAGATAATTTTACTACCCCTAAATTCTGGTTGCTGGTGGATGGTGATGATGAGATGCATGTGTGGGACTACTGGGTTGAGATGGATAGTTGTGAAGCTTCAGCTGGTGTTGATACAGAGTTGTTAGTAGAGTGTTAGAGTGCTCCTCCTCAAGGCCTTGATGCTGGTGAGGGGCTCTTGATCTAGGGAACTGGATCTGTGCTCCAGTTCCCTGAATTGAGCTTTAATACCTTTCATCCCGTCCCCCCTACAGGCGCTGTATAATCCCTACGAATTTAGCGCTCCCCCATGATTATAATAATCATACTAAAGTGCTCAGGTAGTGTGTAATGCATCGTTGGTCTGTAATGCTTCATTTAACTGACAATACATACTCACCTCTTGCAGATTTCACTTCACAGCAGTGTTTCTAGATGTGTCAGGGTTCCCTCCAGTAAGATAAGATAAGATAAGATTTCGTTCGGATTTTTAACCCCGGAGGATTAGCCACCCAGGATAACCCAAGAAAGTCAGTGCGTCATCGAGGACTGTCTAACTTATTTCCATTGGGGTCCTTAATCTTGTCCCCCAGGATGCGACCCACACCAGTCGACTAACACCCAGGTACCTATTTGCTGCTAGGTGAACAGGACAACAGGTGTAAGGAAACGTGTCGAAATGTTTCCACCCGCCGGGAATCGAACCCGGGCCCTCCGTGTGTGAAGCGGGAGCTTTAGCCACCAGACCACCGGGCCACCTGTAACAGTTTTACCAGCATCATATAACTGCACACACAGCTGCTGCAGTGTTAACTGTTTATCTCCACGTTCTACCTCACCCTCTTCTGTTGTTCTCTTCTGGGTACCGAGCTCAAGATTTTTTTTTCCATCCCCTAAAAGTTTGTGTGTCATTTGTTTATATATCTTCTGAGTCCTCGCCTGGCATTCTCCTTGCCAGAGTCACAACTTTCTGGACCAGACTGAGAGGGAAAGCAGTGAAAGTATTCATCAAACTTGGCCGTAATACTTTCTAGTCTGTAATTCTTATGTGTGTGTGACTGAGGATATTTCGTCTTGGAAAGTACTCCTTCAGTAAAGATATCTACGTACCTGGAGGTACATATCTTGACTCAATTCTTAAACCAGTCATCAAATATTGCTTTACTTATTCAAGTTGTCTTGTTAAACCAGATGAGAAAGGTTAAGTGGTTTTTGTCTTTACTTTTCAAAACACGAGGATTCTAGTAGCAACAGGCCTGGTCTCAGACTGAGCCACGGGGGCGTTGACCCCCAAAACCTTCTCCAGGTAAACTCCAGGTAATACACATAAGACTACACTTGAAACCGCACGATGCATTACCACAGCAGCAAGCAAAGACAATCCTTCACCTCTTAGAGTCCGGGTGTACTTTTCTCTTGCCTGCTGAAACAAATTACTGACGGCAACTTTCTCGCTTCACACGGCGAGGGTCCGGGTTCGATTCCCGGCGAAGGGGTGGAAACATCGGACGTGTTTCCTTACACCGGTTGTCTATGTTCCCCATCAGTAAAATGGGTACCTGGGTGTTAATGGACTGGTGTGGGTCGCATCCTGGGACAAAACTGACCTAATTTGCCCGAAATGCTCAGCATAACAAGCAGCTTTCAATATAGTAGTATGTTATTGATGTCAACTATGGTCTGTATACCTTGTACATGTACTGGTAGTAAATATTTATTATTATTATTATTATTATTATTATTATTATTATTATTATTATATGCGGTAAATGTTCAGCGTGAGTTATTATTTTGACATCAACAGTGCGACCTTGAAAATAAACACTGCCGCATCCGTCGGCAAACTTCTCGATGGGGAAGGTGGTAAAATCCAGCGGTATGGCAGATTCTCCAAAATTTACTGCCTAATGTATTTCCATCTTTCCCTGATACACCAAAAAAAATGGGTAGCGAATCTTCTTTTAATAAAAATTGATCATGTCTTACTAAAGATTTTAATATATACGTAATATATATATATATATATATATATATTTATATATATATATATATATATATATATATATATATATATATATATATATGTCGTGCCGAATATGTAAAACTGGTCAATTAGCAAGAACTCATTTAAAATTAAGTCCTTTCTGAAATTTTCTCTTATACGTTTAAAGATATATTTTTTTTCATTAATGTTAATGTAAAAAATTTTAATTATGCACCAAAATAATCTTAGAAAACTTACCTAACCTTATTATAACAAGAACAATTTATTTTATCCTAACCCAACTAAATATATTTTAAATACGTTTACAATAATTTAGTACTAAATAAACACAATCAAATATATTTTTTTCGTTAGGTTCAGAATGATTTTGGCGAAATTATTGCATACACAAATTTTCACTTGTCCTATATGGCAAGATGAGCGTTGCTATTTAAGCCAAGATCGCAAGTTCTGCCTATTCGGCACGACATATATATATATATATATATATATATATATATATAAATTCACTTAGGCAGTTGCTCATAAAACGTTGGTTTAAAAATAAACATACATGTCTCTAATGTTTTTGAAAGAACTAAAGTTAAGTAGATGAAGGTATACTGATGTATATTAGTGTATGTTAGTGCATATTAGTGTATGTTAGTGTATATTAGTGTATGTTAGTGTATGCTAGTGTATATTAGTGCATTAGTGGATATTAATGTATCAGTGTATAATAATTTATTAGTGAATATTAGAATATATTAATGTATATTAGTGTATCTTAGTATACATTTGTGTATATTAGTAGCAAAAGTTTTGCGCATATTTTTTTTATACAATTTTATTTTCGAATCAATAAAGACGTGAGAACATTTTGAGGACAATTATTTTTGTGACAGTTCTAAGGAGAACTTCTTGCCAGAGTAAAGGGCTCTTGATCCCAGGAACTAAATCTTAACCCATCCCTCGCTGGAAATCCAAATATCATCATTATCCTTATCCTTCTCCTCTTCCTCCTTCTCTACCTCTCTCTCCTTTTGGTTTTATTAGCGGGGATATTTACCCTTTTGCAAAACGCAGATCCTACTTAAAATGATAAGAGGTCCTTCAGCCGTGTTCTAACGTGACGTGTCAAGGTAGCAATACAGTGGTTGTATCTCTTCACCTGGTGACTACTGCAAGGTGTGTCTTACCACAGTCTGGTGAAGAATTGGATGGGGTTATAAAGACAGGTAAGCAAACACTAGCATATATTAGAAACGTTTCGGTCCTGGGACCTTGATCACTTCTAACATACAGAATTTAAAACGACAGTATATATAGGTGGAGAGTTAGGTGTGGGTGACACCTGGTGACCTGAAGAATGACATTGGGATGATGACAGGTAGACACCGTGATGTGACTCTTGTGTTGTTAGTTAAGCGGTGTTTTGCCTGGTTAAATATCATGTCTGCTGATGTTTATACCAAGAACTGGATGGTTTACTGGCAGGACCTCTGATGACTGAGGTGCTACCTGAGGTTGTCTGCTGATCTGGAGGTACAAGACTCCTGGTGCTGTTTGGTGGTCCACCACTAGCGTGAGTAAAATATCAAACCAAGACAGGACTCACAGCCCTTTGGGGCCTAGTTCCTAGGCCTTTTGTGTATCCATATGCTCTCGCACTACCGTCCACAGGATGGATATGGGGTGCACAATAAACTAGCCACTTCGGTGGCAAAATCTAATCTAATCACAGCAATGGGTTCCAAGTTGGAAAAAATTAAGTTTAGAAAGGATAT